GAGGCCCGAAGCACTAAGGATGCTTGCACAAGTGAGGCCCGAAGCCCCAACGATACTCACACAAGTGAGGCCCGAAGCACCAATGATGCTTCCACAAGTGAGGCCCGAAGCACTAAGGATGCTTGCACAAGTGAGGCCCGAAGCCCCAACGATACTCAAAGTGAGGCCCAAAGCACCAATGATGCTCGCACAAGTGAGGCCCGAAGCACTAAGGATGCTCGCACAAGTGAGGCCCAAAGCCCCAACGACACTCGCACAAGTGAGGCCGGAAGCACTAATGCTTGCACAAGTAGGTCCAAAAGCACCAGTGTCGCTCGCACAAGCGAAGCCTGGAGCACCAGCATGTGCGCCCACCAGCCAGCCACTCACACGGCTCGGTTGTGAATAGGCCATGGACCAATAATGGGCCACAGCCCACAGGTTGGGGACCCCTGTTTGAATGGTTCTGGCACCCCTTCCTCAACACGGCTTGGCCCAGTGTGGAGAAAGGCAAATCAACTTACCCATAGAGTAGGCAGACCCCCATTCCGGCTGAGATCACGCCTTGTAGCACCCGCCAACTGCCGCAGGTCCACGCCAGTCCCAGCAGAAGGAATTGTCCTCCCACCTGGACGAGGTCTCCCGCCATGGCCACCGGGAGCCGTTGTGAAGGACGACACAACTCCAAACCTAGGAAAGAGAGAAACCAGGCAGGGTAACAGAAGTGGAATACAGGACGTCCTGCATACAGCCACGTTTGTTAAGGGAATCACTGCATTTCGTAAATTAGGAACACCGTGATACTTACGGGTGATGTAGAGGGCAAGTTGTAAAGCTCCCAACATGGTAGCCCAGAGGCACCGGCCCAGTATGAAGATGGAGGGGGAGGCCGCGAAGGCTGCCAGGATGCCTGCTGGACAGCCGAGAATCAGAGACAGGAGGAAGGTACTCCGCCGTCCTACACTGCAAGGAGCAACAGAAATGGAGAGATTACAAGTCGGTCCTCAACCTACTACCGCAATAAACAAGACAGTCATTAAGTGAGACGCGCCCGGTTTTCTCTCTCGCCACGGTTGTGAGGCAAATTGCTGATTCACGTGGTTTTGCCCCACTTTACGACCTGTCTTGTTATAGTTGTTAAGTGAATCATGACAGTTGTTTAGTGACATGGTTGTTAAGTGATTCTGGCGTCCCTCTTTCACTTTGCTTGTCAGAAGGTCGCAAAAAGGGGATCCCGGGACCCCCGCCGTAAATACGAGTCCGTTGCCAAGCACCCAAGTTTTGATCACGTGACCACGGGGATGCTGCAATGGTCGTTAAGTGTCGAAAAACGGCCGTGAGTCATGTTCTCGAGTGCCGCTGTAACTTTGAACGGTCACTAAACGAACTGTTGTTAAGTCGAGGACCTGGTCACCATATCATGAAAAAGATGTTGAGAGTTTGTAAAAAATTCAGAGAAGAGCAACTAAGATGATCCAAGCCCTGGAGACCAAAACATAGAATGGCTGCTTGAACAGGGGGCTGGACTAGAAGACCTCCAAGGTCCCTTTCTATTCTATTCTGTTCTGTTTCATTCTGTTCTATTGTATTCCTATCCGTTCTACTATCATTCCATCCCATATATTCTATTCTATTCTATTCTATTCTATTCTATTCTATTCTATTCTATTCTATTCTATTCTATTCTATTCTATTTTACTCTACTCTACTCTATTCATTCCATTCCATATCTATTCTATTCTATTAATATTATTCTATTCTATTCTATTCTATTTTATTTTATTCTACTCTACTCTACTCTACTTTATTATTATTTATTAAATTTATATGCCACCAATCTGAAGGTCCCTCTGGGTGGCTTACAGTCGTTAAAAAAACCAATTAAAAGAAACATTAAAACGATAAATAGGGTAATCCAATTTAGTTTACAAACTAAAAAACTCCCATCCCAAAACTTCCAACTTACCTGTCGGCCAGGTGACCCAGGAAAACGGCTCCTGCCGCGAAGCCCAGGAGGAAACAGATCTGCTCCAGAGGGATGACCCAACTTCCAGAACGATCCAGGTTCCACTGAGGAAAAAAAAAAAAGGAATAAGAAATTTTAAAAAAAATCAAATTATGCTTCAGGATAAACGAGTGCCTAATTTAAACCTGAAATTGGAAGGAATCCGGCTGCATCTTTTCAAACTACAGATGGTCCTCACTTAATGACCTGTTTGAGGTTACGACGGTGCTGAAAAATTGGTCCTCGCGCTTACAACCACCGTAGAGCAGGCCGTCCTCGACTTACAACAACGGAGCCCCAAAGTTTCAGTTGCTAAGCGAGGCATCTGTGAAGCGAGTTTTGCCCCATTTGACGTCCTTTCTCAAAGTGAATCCTTGCAGTTGTTTAGTGACACGGTCGTTAAGCGAATCTGGCTTCCCCCCCATTGACTTTTGCTTGTCAGGTCACAAAAGGGGAATCATGTGAGCCTGGGACACTGCGACCGTCATAAATAGGAGTCACTTGCCAAGCGTCTGAATTTTGATCCTGACTTTCATGGCAAGAAACGTCGTAAAATGGGGCAAAACTCCCTGAACAACCGTCTCACTGGTCATATGTTGAGGACCATCTATATTCACTAAGCATTCCATTATTCTCCTGTATTTCTTTATTTTCATCCTCTATCTCTCTGTTTTGCCACATTCAGCAATCAAATTTCAGCTTTCTAGTCCAGGGGTAGGCAACCTCGGCTCTTTTATGACTCGTGGACTTCAACTCCCAGAATTCCTGAGCCAGCCATGCTGAGGAGAAAGGGAGAGGTTTCCAAGCTGAGCCATGCTGGCTCAGGAATTCTGGGAGTTGAAGTCCACGAGTCATAAAAGAGCCAAGGTTGCCTACCCCTGGTTCTAGGGATTCCTGCTTGAGCAGGGGGTGGACTAGAAGACCTCCAAGGTCCCTTCCAGCTCTGTTATTCTGTATGGTCTAGGCCAGGGGTAGGCAACTTTGGCTCTTTTATGACTTGTGGACTTCAACTCCCAGAATTCCTGAGCCAGCCACGCTGAGGGGAAAGGGAGAGGTTTCCAAGCTGAGCCATGCTGGCTCAGGAATTCTGGGAGTTGAAGTCCACGAGTCATAAAAGAGCCAAGGTTGCCTACCCCTGCTCTAGTCATACAAAACATCTTAAGTGTTTCTTTGTTTTTTGTTTCAAATAAGAAGCATGCAATAAACTTCTTCCTTCTGAAGAACAAAAATCCGGTTTCTTCACTTCCTGACAGGCAAAAAGCCACGTGGGGTTTCCTAAATTGGCTCCGTGGCCACGTCTTGAGCAAAATTAAAGGAAGAATCCTTTTGCTGATCACACTTAACAAACTGCTATAACTTTTTCTTGCCGTTGTAGAGGAAAACAACGACCTTTCCCCCCCATTTGTTAGGCCCCAGAAGCAGCCCTGACGTGCACTTTAAACAACCTCACAAACAATCCATATCTGGATTTTAACATGTTTCCAGTTGCACCATCATTGACAAATAACATTTTTCACATTCTCACTTCGGACATTTATTCGTTGTTTTCCTTTGGTGGCTTCCCAGTCTCGGTGATTCAAGTCAGCCCACGTAATAATTCTACTTAAGATTCGTAATTCTACTTCGTCGTAAGGCTATTTTAACAAAATTTTGCCGGTGTGAAAGAACAGGCAGTCCTCAGCTTACGACCACAACTCAGCTGAAAAAAATTTCTGTTGTTAAGTGAGTTTTGCCTCCATTTTACCACTTTTCTGGCCACGGTTGTTAAATGAATCACTGCAGTTGTTAAGTTCGTTGTTAAATGAATCTTAGCTTCCCCATTGTGTCAGAAGGTCACAAAAGGGGAGCACATGACCCCAGGGGACGCCACGACCGTCATAAATGTGAGCCAGTTGCCAAGTGTCTGAAGTTTGATCACATGACCCT